CCCTCGGATTGGGGCAAAATCCTGAGACTAGGGCAAAAACCCCAGATCGGGGCAAAACCCTCAGATTGGGGCAAAACCCTTGGATTGGGGCAAAACCATTGGATTGGGGCAAAACTCTTGGAGTGCGGCAAAACAAAAAAACGTAGATCAGGGCAAAAAAAACCTCAGATCAGGGCAAAAAAAACTTGGATCAGGGCAAAAACCCTCGGATCGGGGCAAAAGCCTTGGACTGGGGCAAAACCATTGGATTGGGGCAAAACCATTGGATTGGGGCAAAAATCATCAAATATCAATTTTGGGGCAAAATGCATCAGTTTGGGGCACAAAGTTGGATTTTAGGGCAGAGGGTGTGGATTATAGGGCAAAAAGTGTTGATTTAGGACAAAAAAACCTGTTGATTTGGAGGCAAAAAGTGTCGGTTTGGGGGCAAAAAACCATCGATTTTTGGGGATGTCAATTTTGGGGTAAATGGTGTCGATTTGGGCAACAAAAATGTCACTTTGGGGGCACAAAAGCATCAATTTGGGGGTGAAATGTCAATTTTGGGGCAAACTATGTCAGGTTTGGGGCAGAAACCTTTGACTTTTGGACAAAAGGTGTGAATTTTGGGGCAAAAGATGTTGATTTTAGGACAAAATTGTTGATTTTAGGACCAAAATATTGTCATTTATGGGGCAAAAAGGCATCAATTTGGGGGAAAAATGTCGATTTTGGGGCCTAAAACTTGGATTTTAGGGCAAAGGTTGACAATTTTAGGACAAAAAGTGTTGATTATAGAACCAAAAAATGTCACCCTGGGGGGGAAATAGCCTCAATTTTGGGGAAAAACATCAATTTTGGGGCAGAAAATGTGGGTTTGGGGCACAAAACTTGGATTTTGGGGCAGAGGGTGTGGATCATGGGGCAAAAAGTGTTGATTTAGGACAAAATAAAATTGATTTTTGAGGAAAAAGATGTCGATTTTTCAGGCAAAAATTGCTGATTTGGGGGTAAAAATCCTTTGATTTTGGAGCAAAGGGTGTCAATTTGGGGCAAAAAATGTCTATTTGGGGAAAAAAAGTCACTTTGGGGCAAATAAGCATCAACTCAGGAGGAAAATGTCAATTTGGGGGCAAAAAGTGTCAGTTCTGGTGCACAAACCGTTGATTTTGGGGCAAAAGATGTCGATTTGAGGCAAAAAGTGCCAATTTTATGGTGAAAGTTAGAACAATTTGAGGCAAAGTATGTCGATTTTGGGGTAAATTGTGTCGATTTTGGGGTAAAAAGTGTCTCTCTGGGGGCAAAACCCATTGATTTGGGGGTAAAATGTCTATTTTTGGGCAAAACATGTCAGCTTTGGGCCACAAATCTTTGATTTTTGCCCAAAAATTGTTGACCTTGGGGCAAAAATTGTCAATTTTGTGGCAAAAAAAGTTCATTTAGGACAAAAAATAGATCAGTTTTGGGGCAAAGGATGTGGATTTTGGGGTAAACAAAGTCAATTTAGGGCAAAAAAATGTCACTTTGGGGGCAAAAAGATTTGGGGGGAAAATGTGGAGTTTGGGGCAAAATCTGTCAGTTTTGGGGCCCCAAACCTTTGATTTTAGGGCAAAAGTCCAATATTTTGTGCCAAAGGTGTCGATTTTGGGGCAAAAGGTGTCGATTTGGGGACAAATCCCCCCAGGCCTCTCCCCTGTGACTCACCTGACAGGTACCCTGAGACCAGGAGTGTCCCCAAGGTCACAATCCCCACACAGGTGTGGGCACACCTGGCTGCAGGTGTCCTCATGGCCCTGCAGGTGACACACAGCTCACCCAGTGCCTCCACAGGTGTCCCCAAACCCACCTGGTGTCCCCCAGGTGTCCCCAGAATCCCCTAGGTGTCCCAAGGACCTCCCAGGTGTCCCCTAGGTGCCCCCAGACCTCACCTGGTGTCCCTAAGGTGCCCCCACAGGTGTCCCCAAACCCACCTGGTGTCCCCCAGGTGTCCCCAG